AACACAGTAATTTATAGGCATATGATGATAGATAGATAGATGATAGATAGATAGATAGATAGATAGATAGATAGATAGATAGATAGATGATAGATAGATAGATAGATAGATATCTACATTATCTGTCTGTCTGTCCATCCATGTATCTATCTATCTATCTATCTATCTATCTATCTATCTATCATCTACCTACCCACCCACCCACCTGCCTACCTGCCTATCAAACGACTAGAGAAAGGGTTAAACTTGGAAATGAAGAAATGCCCATCCACACACTTTTTCTTGGGATAAATTTTATTTATGGAGAATACTACAGAAGGTGTCCTCAGGCTCAGCTATTTGGTATCCTGTCTATCCTGTCCAAGGTTGAGTCAGGGAAGTAGGGTTCGACCTTGAGATGTCATCATGATAAAAAACAAAATGTAATGCTGACCACAGAAGCCCCTCTCTGTGGCTAAGACTTTTGTTATATTTTTTATCCTCCTAACCCAGCCAAACAATTTCAGACCATTTTTTTCTGCCTACTATTTTATAATTAAAATTGTCAAATGTAAAAAAAAAAAATTTTGAAATACTGTACAGCAGACACCCATATACCCATCACCTAGATGCTTCAATTGTTCTATTTTGCTCTATTTGTGCTATGGACCAAAGTATACATCCTCCCAAAATTCATATGTTGAAGCCCTAATCCTCAGTATGATGCCATTTGAAGGTGTGGTGGTATCTGGGGCCTTTGGGAGGTGATTGGGTCATGAGTGTGAAGTTATCATGAATGAGATTAGCGCCCTTATAAGAAGAGACATGAGAGAAATATTTTTTTTCTTTCCCTTGCTATGTGAAGACATACCAAGAAGGTGTCTGTCTACAAACCAGGAACATGGTTCTTACTAGGAACCAAGTCAGGTGCCACCTTGATCTTGGAGTTCCCAGCCTCCACAACCATGAGAAATAAATGTCTGTTGTTGAAGCCCCCCAGTCTATGGGATTTGGGGTAGAGCAGCCTGCCCTCAGACAGTTTGCTTTCTATCCAAACATCCATCCCTCTTTCCTGTAGCCATCATCATCTTCATCCTAAACACTGCAACAGGCATTTCATTCGAGTTGCACTATTTTATGCCTCTTTTCTATTTTAAGTTCAAACTTATATATAGCAAAATGTACAAAGCCTAGTACCATTCAGTAAGGTTTGTTTATTAAATGTATTGGGTGACATTGGTTAATAGGATCATATAGGTTTCAGATGTACACTTCTATTATACATGATCTGTATATTGCACTGTGTCCGCCACTCAAGTTTTGACAAATGCAAACATCCATTTAACACAAACCCCTATTAACACATAGAACATGTCCACCACCCCCGAATATCCCATGTCCCTGCCCAGTCCATCCTGACACCAGTTTCAATTCTAAAGCAACCACCCTTCTACTTTCCAAAGTCACTATAGATGAGTTTTGCCTCTTTAGAACTTGATATAAACGGAACCGTGCAGTCAGTATGCAATATGTTTTTGAGACTCCTCCACGTTAAATACCTCAGTTAATTTCCTTCCTTTTTATTGATGAATAGTGTTCAACAATAGAACTATGTCTTAATTTGTTGATTCATTCATGAGGACATGAGGACTTTTTGCAGTTTTTGACATTGTAAATAAAGATGCTAAGGACATTCTTGTACAGATTTTTTTTAACTTATGGGCAAATGCCTAAGGATGGAACTGCTGGATTTTCAGTGCGTGGTTAGTTGTATAAACAACTGCCAGGCCTTTTCCCAAAGTGGTTATTTCATTTTCCACTCCCACCAGGATTATATTCTCCTGGTGGGAGTGGAAAATGGTCTTTTCCACTTTAGCCATTTGGGGTTTGGGGGGTTGCCGTGGAGACACATCTCTAAGTATGCCCCCGCCAGCTCCTGCTCATCAGAGCCATCTCCCCAAGGATTTAACTCAAATGTTTGGGGAGGGGGCTTATATTTCAGTGGCTTATTTCTTCTAAGACCCTAAAAGAGGAGAGGAACTTCATCTACTATTTGTCCAACTCTTCCATCTTGCTTAAGAAGATAAGTTTAAAATATCAGAACAGTCCTCTGACTAAATCAAGCTGGCGAATTCAGTTATCTGCTGTTTCACGATATATTTTGAGACAAAAACTTCTCACATAGAAATCCCAGCCTTTGTCTCTGTTTCCAGCAGGATTTGGAACCGTCAATATTTTAGAGAAGGAATGTTCCCAGTGCTCAGGCTCGGCCTCTTTCCCTGCAGCTTTTCCTAGGAACTAATCTTCACAGTATCACACCCACCCTCTGGAAGACGGCACTGATGTCCCTCTGTACAGACAAGATAAATGCACCTGTGCCAAGTGTCCCAAGCACAAGATCCGTGACCCTGGCACATACACATTCCTACACATGTCTCTCCCCTGCAGGCACCTCCTCCATGGTGGACTCTTGCACGGGGTTTGGTCCCACCTCCTGCCCTCCTTCCACCTGCACCTTGGAGGCCAGCGCACTTGGCAAGGTTCTTCCGCCACCTGCTCCCCGTCCCATTCATCTCCCTACGTGCAGCCTCTCTCCTTCTCCCGTTTCTTCCAGCTCTGCTCAGCTACCTCATAAAACTCTTGTTCCCTCGCCCTTTCTCTCTCTTGTTCTCTTCCATATGGGAGCTAAAAATGTATCTGCAACTTGCCTGGCAACTGCCAAAGTAGTGCTAGTGTGTAATGAAGTAAGACAAAATGAGGAACCAATGCCATCAACATCTAAAGTTCTTGAAAGTACCAAGAGGTCCCTTTCACAAAGGAACCTTCTACTTTCTCAACCCCTCCTAATTAAGCTGGATTTTCCTCAAGTACCTGCATTCTACATAAACAAAAACCTTTTGTCTTCCCTATTGGGTTTCCGTTTTAATTCATAGCAACATTGTCTTCTATTACTTTGGTTGCAAAGACACAGAATGTCAGTTACATTTTAAGTTAAACTGCAACACTATGTCTATGAAAAATCATGTCATAAAAGCCAAACTGACTTAAACTTCTGGAATCAAATCAATTTCTAAATTAGAACTTGCATTTTTCCCCCCATTTTGTTGTAAATATTTGTTATAAGAATTTCCCTTTGGAGTGTTTCCTTTCATAGAGATATGGATGAAAATACAATAGTAACATCCTCAACATCACAGTTTTATATGCAGTATCCCTACCTAGAAAGTATATATTGTCATGACCCCACTTTACAGATGAGGAAACCAAGGTACAGAAAACTTTAGTAACTCACAGCTAGTAAGTGGCAGAGCTTGAATTCACACCTTAGTTTGTTGGCCTTTAGCTGATGCTTTCTTGGCCACCATGCTGTCCTCCCCCACCCCCTGTATTTCCTGGTACTACCCAGCACACAAATTAAAGCTTCCCAGCATGCACTTGTATGGGCCATGACTGTGACCCACCTCCCCATCATTTTCTGCAGCACCACCATGTTCTTCCCCCCATATTGTTCAGATCGCACCAAACCTCAGGAGTTCAGAAAAAGAGACCAGCAAAAGCTCTGAAGATAAATCAGTAAATCCAGATCTTTCACAAATCCAAAGCTATTTTGAAAAGCAAAGCTATATCTAACAAAGTAGAGCTTAGCTGTGCAATTAATAAACAGCACTTACTATGCATTTTAAATAGCTCTTACCTGGCTCTGACTATGTCAACACAGACTATGGTTTATGCACCTGTCTATTCTGTTACCCAGAGTTCTGGGCTTTGTTTTGTTTTTTTTTACAAACTTGCTCTAATGGCTTTAATACAGATTGGCTAACAAAATACCACTGAATGAAGACTTCATGGAATGCAGCACAATTAAAGGCTAAAAGGAGTAAGAGCCACCTCACCCCCCTTCAAAAAAGGAGTAAGAGCCCAGATTTGATTGTTGCAGCGAACCTTTTTCTACATGTGAGGCCAGAGTCCATTGACTCATGCAACCTACCAAGTTGTTATTGATTTCATCCTTATTTCAGGAGGACTTTGGTGCCAATGAGGACAGGCTCACTTGCCCTCCACTCTACCCCCTTCTTGTTAACCTTCCTATACTTGAAAGGCTGGAAATTCAAAAACAACATTTTTCAGACTCTCTTGCAGCTAGCATTCTACATGAAAATTAGGTTCCTCTGATTAGATGTACATATACGAGACCCAGAAGGCAGAACTGAGGCAGAAATCATCTTCCTGGCCCCCTTTAAGCTGTTTTTTGCAAACAATCAAGATCATTACAGGTAAGCTCATTTTTAGCAGCATCATTCTAGTGTTCAATCTCCAACTTCTTGGGCATTGAGAGATAGTCGGCAGGAGCTGCTTGCTTATTTTGATTTCCTGAACCCTGGACTACAGTTACTGAAGTGAGCCTTGAGCCCCTCTTTCCAGTGGTGATCGCAGAAGTGGTGAGTCAGGCCTGTATTGCCCCAGATCCTCCTATTTCACATTCTCCTCCATCAACACCATAACCAGTAACATTTCTAGTATGTTCACAATGTGTTAGGTACTGTGCTAATGCTCTACCATAAGTTATTTTATTTACACCCCAAAAGAACCCCTTGAGGAAGATACTATTAATATCCTTGTGTTCTAGATGAGTCTACCAAGATTGAGAAAAGATGAGCAAATTGCACAGCCAGTAGGTAAGCTAGTAGACCTGCCTCCAGAGCCTGAGCTCTGCCTCTTTGAAGGTGTTTGGGGGCCCATACACATTATGATGCTAAAAAGACATCATTCTTTTCCCTTAAACAATAGACACATAGAGGTCTGCCTGTTTCATGTCAAGATGTGCCTAGATATCAAAGAAGCCTCCGGTCTAATGAAATAGAAAGGTAATTAAAGAACACAGAAGTATCACTTTGTAAAAAGTCTCTAAGCCACACCAAGATAACTTTTTTTGTAAAAGTTAAAGAATCAAGATGCAAGCAGACACAGGCTTGTACTTGCTCCTGGAAGGAGCAGAGCTGGGGAAATAGACATGCACTTACCAGGCGCTCTGTTCACAGCGAGGTTTCGGAAATGACTGCCTTTGATCATTTCCACAGATAATCGCCCCGTTGTGGCATTATAGGACAGCCCCACCAACAGCTCTGGCGCCCCTCCATGAGACAGCGACTGCGTGGATGAAGCACTATCACTGTGAGAAACGGCAGATGGGCTGAGCCGAGACTCTCCACTCTGGAGGGGAAGAAAAACAAAGACTCCATTGGCCCACGCTGCACTACTCTCTTTTACAGAAAGCCAATATTATGTTTGGTTGGCAATCTCAACGGCTGCCAAAGATTACGAAGGAAGGGTGCACTCTGTGTGAATGATAATGGGCCTGGGGAGCACGGTCCTGGAGGAGAGCCCCTGCATTATTAACTGACATCTTTGTCTCAAGAGCTGTCTCCATTCAATATTTCCTCTCTAAAGACAAAACGAACCAAGATGTTATTACTAGTATAAATCAAACCCTCTAAGATACATAGAGAGCTAATAATACATTTAATATAGACCAAAATTCCCTCCTGTGTCATTTGTGCTCGATATTTCTGTGGAACCCAACCACTCCATTCTCTGCAGCTTCGTGATGAATGTAGCAATTCAAAAGGCATTTTGTCTTCACTGGAAGAAGAAATGACGACTGGACATCTACCACTGCACAGGACATGTGGCCCCTTGTTCTGCTTCTAAAGGTTATCAGGAATGTGCCAGGTGCTATCTTTTTCCTCCTAAGAAATAAATTGCATGGAAAGTGAGCATGTTTACAACTTTGGACAAGGAGGCTGGCCCATGGACTGCGATCTCAGGGGCCTTGCAGGTACCAGGTGAGCCCGGGGCAGAGCCTGTGCCTGCCGTTGTTTTATTCACGTGCATGCTTCTCTGAAACACCCACTTTTATGCAGCAGACACATCTGGGGGAGGAAAGTGAAGCTGATCCCCGAGCTGATTCTCATTCAGGAAGGGGAGTGGGAGTCAGCCCTGCAGGGGAAACCAGCCAGCCTCCTGGAGCTCCCACCTCTTGCACCAGAAATGAATACATTGGACTTGGCTCAAGCCTTTCTTCTCCACATTTCACATCACTTCCTAAAACTTCTGGTCAGAGACTCCAACAAATAAAGGCATTCAAAGTAATGAAGTATTCTTTACATCTGTAGGAAAATATCCTGTTGACCAAGCCATAGGCATCAGAGCCCCAGCTTTCATGGAATGCAATTGGTACCCTATGGGGCCAGGTGGTTCCCACAGGTGCCGTACAGCCCCCACTGGATGATGATAACCCAGCAATGGAATATTTGCTTAGTTCTGGGTGAAAATCCTCCCTCCCCTGTGCTTCTATAGAAGCATCTACTGTGGACCCTTATCACTGCCTAGCTTGCCTTTCCCATCAAATTCCCAGTCCTTATAGACCTCTCAGGCCATAGCCCAGTGTCTGGCATATAACCACACTCAACAAATAAGTGGAGAATGGAAAATCGTTGACCCTCAAAGTCCTTTCATACTGACTAGTCTCCCCCTACTCAGCTCTGCTCCCAGCATACAGCACAGGGCCTGGCACAGAGAAATGGGTGTGAGCACACCTCTCCCTAAGCTCGACAGTGCAGGCAGGACTCCTGACCTCCTGTGGCTTCTGCTTTTTCATGATTTCAGATACGCTTCCCTCAGAGCTTGAGAAAAAAGAGGGATTTGAGCAGAGATGCGACGTGGTCTGGCTTATGTTTTAAAAGGCTCATGCTGAGCCCGTGTTGGGAACAGTGTGAGGGGCAGGAGCAGAAGCAGGGAGGCCTTAGGAGGCCATTTCATCCCGCAGGAAGGCAGGTTCTGGCTGTATTTTGAAGATGGAGCCAATATGATTTCAGGTGCAAAGGACGGAAATCACAAATGCCTTCTAAGACTTTTGACCTGAGCGACTGAAAGGACGACGGAGTTGCCTTTAGCCAAGATGGGAAGACTATGGGTGGAATGAAATTAGAGGCAAAAATCAGGACGTCAAGACTGGAGATTTGATTTGGAGACATCTGTTACAAATGGAAGTGGCTGGCTCTCCCGTCGCTACGCTCCCTGGCTCCTCTCCTCTTCTTCAGACATGACGAGCCCCTTCCCGGCCCTCACCCGTTCGCCTTCTCTCTGTCTGACCCCCTGTCCTCCACATGTCACTGGCTTTTTCCTTTCATTCCCTGAGTTCTGGATTATATCACCACCTCAAAGAAATGGTTTGACTCTTCTGAACAAGCAGTAGCCTCTGTCACTCTCCTTCCTGCCTTGATTTACCTGCTGTGCCCCCCTCCACCAGACTGTAAGCTCCCCGAGGACAGAGGCATCGCCTGTTCTGTTCTTTCCTGCATCCCCTTCAGTAGCTGACGGAGACTAGGCTCTCAGTAAACACTTCTGAATGGATGGCTGACTGGCCCAGCAGCCCGGGACAGCTACCTGATCTTTTTACGTGTTTTTTAAGAGGTGACACTCCCAGTAGATGGCACAGTACCCATGGCAATAGTGAGGTGCCCAGCTTGCAGACATGCACATGCACTGTCTCTCCTTGAAACCCCAGGGGATGCAGAGGACGGGGCGCCCGGAGGAGCCTGGTGGTGTAAACGGAGGTTGGAGGTGGCTGGCGTGCTGGGCCACCGTTGGCAGCCTCCTCAGACACACCTGTCACGGACCTCACCTGGACAGTCCATCTCTGAGAGCTGCCACCATGCACACTGGGGGCAGAGCGGGGATGGTAGGGCCATTTTCTGGCCGCCTAGAAGGCCTGGCCACCGCTCCCGGCTCTCCCTGCCCTCCACGCACGGCGCTCTCATGTCCTTAGATGGACATCCATCGGGCCGTAGGGGAGACGGGCACGAAGAACCCAGTGAAGCATAAAGTGCAAATCACGGCTCATAAGGCTGGGGAGAACCAAATGGAAAATTAAATTAGAGTGTTTGAATTCACAGGCTGAATGTCCTGAATGAAGGGCCGGCAATTCCACATCCTCGAACACACGGCGCCATGAGCAGCACCATTTAACACACTCACACTGATGTTACTTCTCGGCTCCAGAACCAGGGTCACTTTCATTTCCCCTTCCAGGTGCAGGTGGCTGAGATGGAACAGCTTCTCTCCCATCATCTTCTCCCGGGGCATCTTGCGGGCGGCGTACAGGCGGAAGCGGACGGCGCAGGCCGCCAGGTCTCTGGGCTCCAGCTTGGTGAAAGCCACCTTCTCCTTGAAGACCGGATTGGGCCCCCTCTGGATGCTCGTCCTGCCCCTCTGTTTCTTACTGGGCAGCAGGACCACGTGAACTTGCCAGGAGTTGATGCCACTTCGGTCCTTATCCGGGAGGCCCTGTGCTCTCACGATGGTCACAGTGAGTTTCTGGCTGGCAGCTCTGTATTCGAAGGTAACATCCAGATCACCACACTTTGAGATGGGCTCTGGGACTCCCGAGGGCACCTGAAAATCGGCCCCATCCTGCTCCTGTTGCAGACAGAGGGGGAGATTAGGAATGGAATAATAACGCCCAATTACATGTCGGCGAGACAATGCCCCTCGGTGCTGCTCCAGAACCGTTCTTGTTTTCCTGTTAGCTCAGATCCCTGTCTATTAGAGAGGTCTGTGCACCGGTCTCTCTCTCCACGAGACTGTGAATGTTTTTAGGTCCCAGTACCTGGCATATGGGGAAGCTTTGGGGACAAATGAACAAAGCTTTTATATTTTGCAGTGTTTTCCTCTACACGGCCTCTCAAAAAGCACAACTGACCACTACATTGTAACCGACTGAGACACAAAGTCTGAAATCAGTCAACTGTACAACTGCCAAGGGGTAACTCTGCCTGGCGTCCCAGGAGACATGGCTGGGCCGGGGCCTGTGCTCTACTGGCCAGGACCTCCTGAAGACAAGAATCCCGATAAAACCGGGGTCATGGCCCGGTGGCCTCTCAGCAGACATTCAGTCTACATGGGAGAGAAGTTTCGGGCAGAGCTTCTCAGATGCTCGTGTGGACTTGAATCATCTGAGGATTGTTACTCAGCGGGACTGGGGTGGGGCCTGAGACTGCATTTTTCAGAAGATTGTGAGGACGTCACTGTTGGCCTCAAACCACAGTCTAAGTAGCATGGGTTTAGGGGGGCAGCCCCAGCCTCCACGCTGGACTTGGAGACAGAACACCTCGGGTGAATGTACACATGAGTGCCAAGCAGAAATCATAACTCTGCCTCGGATTGGCTTTTTGATCCTGGCCAAATAAGCCATCCTTTCTGTACTCTTGCGGGGGTGGGGGGTGGGGGGGGAGCATTAAGATGCCTACTTGATAGAGTGTTGTTGTAAAGTTTTAACAGATGGGAAAAAAATATCTGGCTCAGAACAGACTCCATAAATATCTATTCCCATCAGTAGACTGGTGCTACCTATTTTCAAGCAGGCTCCCTTCATTATGAAATATCACCCTTAGATAGCAATTCACCAGTAGCCAGTCAGATCTGATGACCTCACTGGGAAAACTGAGCTGAACTGCATTTACAGTAATGAACCACCCTCCAACAGACGATAAATAATGTCAACCTAATTTGATTTTTTCCTCTGAAGGTATGACTCTTGCCCATAACGAAACTTGGGTCTGATTTCTTATTGTAAATCAGAATCAGTTCTTATTTATGTAATGGAACGCCAGACTTTGCTAACTTAAAGACCTCTTCATTTCAAAAAAGATACAATAAAACACCTGAAAAATGCTCAGCAGCAACACAACTTCCCAACAGAGCTCAAATAAAAGTGCGCAGTTCTCGAGACAGAGACAGCCTCAGGGATCCCGGTTCTAACACCTGCTACCGCCATGACATTGGACAAGTGGTTTCTTCCTTTCCACTTCCTGCTTTTCTCACAGTGAAATGGACAGAGTACCTACTTTATAGTGTTATAGTAAAAATTAAAGGACTTGACATCTAGGAGACATCTATTAAATGCCCTCTCTCTTAAGATTCACATTAGTCTACCAAGAAAATTTAGGTTTTTTGCAAAATAAGGGAAGCTTCTTCTATCTTTTCCTCTGAGCATGCATGCCTTCATGTGTGAGTGCTTCTATTCAGAGGTACTTAGTTTCAAGTGATAAAAGTGGTTGCTATAGAGACTTTTGAATACAACCGACTAGTGTAGATATAATATTAGAAGCAAGTCTCCAAGGAGTTAGGCCAACTCAAGTCACAGTCTTCTGTTAAAACTCCCATCTATTTTAGCCTACTCTTGATCATTTCTGTATTGCTTGCCAGAACACAAGTAATAATAGATAACATATACTAAGCCCTCCCTTATGCCAGGTACTATACTAAGCCCTCTACAGACTACAAAAGCCTGCTTTTTATGCACTTCAGACTTTCTTGGCCTCCCCTCTTATTCCATCTTTCCCCACAGGCCCAGCCTGTCTGCTCTCTAAGTGGCTTCCGCCTGGTGAAATTCAATAAAGTCTTACCGCCTGCCCTGCCAGGTAGCTCCCAGCTCCCACCACGGGCCCTCTGTGGATGTCAAGGCTTGGAAAGTTACAGAATCCTGCTTGGCACTCATGCAGAGAAAGTCCAGAGTGTGGGGGGAGTTAATGCCTCGTGCACTAAGCTTTTCTCCCCTTGGAAAGATGTCCTGAGATTAGTTTACACAGCCTCATAGAGCACAGTCTCACGGGACCAAGCCATGAGTCACACTTAGTGGTGCCAACTTGATTAGACTCGTAATGATGCTCTGTTCTTCCCTGTCTCACTCCCTTATCCCTCACTCTTCCCTGGGATTGCATGTCCTGTGCTTTTTGGGAAACACGGCTAAGAAATATTATCTTCTTAAAATATTCACTAACCTAATGAGGTAGGTATTTTAGTATCTTTATTTTTATAGGGGAGGAAACCAAGGCTTAGAAAGGCTAAGGAATTCACCCCCTGCCCCAAACATCATAAGCCCAGCCAGGACTATTCAGGATTTACCTGCATTAATGCTTCAAGTCCCAAACCTTACATTGAGCCGTGATGTCTCCCTTCTTCTCCCTCAGATCTTTCACCGCAGCAATGCATAGGTATAGCAAGTGTGCGGGATGAAGAGGGAGTAAGACGGGAAGAGAGAGCTGCAAACACACACTACTTTGAATTTCACATCCTTTCAGGCCCCCTGCTCTTAACATCTGCTAACTGTTCCCAGTTTCGTCATCAACTTCAATGCCAGAGTAAAAATGTCCTAGAAAATGACTCTCCCGCCACTTGTCCATCGGGCTCTCTATTCAGACCAACGCTCACTGCACCTGCAGGTTTGTGGTGAAGTCCTGGGGCAGGGGCTGTGGCTCTGAAGTAACCGGGTGAGAGACAGCTCCAGGCAAAGGCCAGGCTCTGGACGGGGACAATCCAAGCAGTGGCCCCACGAAAACTGGGGTTTGTGGCCCCTGCCTGGGTTGATCAAGATTTGTGAAGGCCGGTACTTTCAGAGCAATTAATCACTGCAACACACAGTCCCTCTCACCGGGCAACCAAAGGCGCTCCTCCTATGGGTACTGTTAATATCACTAATCCATCTGACCTTCCTGCAAGGTAAAAATCTCTTCATTTTTATCCCCATTTGGCAGATTTTAATTAACTTCTCAAGGCCAACCAGTTAATCAGTGAAAACAGAGATGAAAAGTGGGACACCTGCCTCCCTGTGTGCTCAGCATCGCCAGCCGCCCTCCCACTGGCCTCCCCGCCAGGCCTGGGTTTGCAGGGAGAGCCGGCGGCCTTGCCCGCAGGAGAGAACACGCGCAGAAACCCGCCAGCCGGACGGGTAGTCACACGGCATGACCGGTTTCCTCCTGAGCCGAAATAAATGATTCCTTTAGCCCTCACAGCCTGGGTTTGCTTTACGATGGGAATACTTGTACCGCGTTGTCAAAACCCCATGTACTTTTAAAGATTTGCTATCGAATTGAAAGCGTTTTCTGTTTTAGTAAGATAGTATTGATGTCATCTGTACGGCCCAAAGTAAACAGACCCACAATATGTTCCCGATGCCAGATACACAGGGCGGGGCGGGGTTCTTAATACAGCTAAGAGGCAAATAAATCAATTCTTAAAAGGCGAGCCAGGCCTGCCAAGCAGGCGGTTACAGGAACTGTCTCCAACCTGCATTTGTTCTACTGTAAGAGCACAAATTACAGTTTTTGTCTCAAAATAGATAGGAGGTTGAATGGAGCACACAGAGATGTCTGAGTATTTTTGGAGTCGAAGGACTTTAGTGCCCTCAACACCAAGTCTTCTATCAAAGCTCCACAAGGCTGGCAAATGGGCAGTTACCTGGAGAAAGCAATTCCAGGGTCATGGTACAGTGATCAAGGGGATGGAGGGTCACCAGGCAGGTAAACAGTTCAGTTTTGTTTTTGTGGTGAGAGAGCCAAAGAGAATGTGTTTAAACATTCAGTGGTACTGCGTGAGATTTAATATGACTTTTAGCAGTAAACCTACAGGGAAGCACTTTTTTTTTTTTTACAAAACTCATAAGGTTAATAGCTTTGGATGTCTCTATAAAGGGCTGCTTTCAACAAGCCACAGACCACGTATCCAAGTTGCCATCTCCCATCCTTACCGGGAACACCAACCGCAGGTGTGCGTACACAGGTGCACACCCTCCTCTTCCTCTCTCTGCCCACCCCAGTGCGATGGCAGGGAGGATTTGGAACGTGATTTTCTGTGACTTTTTTCTTCTCCTTGATGAGCATTTGGTGTGTATGACAGTCCAGGCCCTAATAAAAGATCCGTCCTATCTATTTTCTCAGTCAGATGGACACTAACAAAACCCATTCGCTCTTCTCCTTCCTCTGTCCCCATAAACTACACTGAAATTTACATACTGATATGACTTCTTTCATCAAAATTAATTTCAATGAAGGTATCGGGCACCACCATTTAATATCTCTTTATATTATAGGATCATTATAGGGGGAATCTAGCTAATAAGGAATCACCATAAATGCCTAAAAATGAAACAAAATTTGTAAAAGCCTTATCACAGTGTTTGGCACATAGTAATCGCTCAACAAACAGTAGTTTCTAGCATCATCACCTCCTGTCACACCTCTGGTTGGTTAAGCATGTTCTGGAGTAAGTTTTAATTGAAAAATAAATTTAGAAGAATAATCTTTTATCATAGATTCGCTTCAGAAAGCAAAGCAAATGGCCAGAGGGCTGTTGCAGACTAATGTTATCTCTTAGGCCTTTGATTCAATTAAAAGCTAACAAACATACTGCAGGACTTTCATCACACTATCTTCTATAATTTCATTTGGAGGACCATTGTTTTTTAGTTTAAGTTTCAAATAATTCTCATATCCAAATAATCATCACTCAAGATTTGGAGTAAATAAAAATAGACTCCCCTTAATTGAAACCATAAAGAAAACAAACCAGTCTCTCTAAAGAACTAACAACTCCTTTCTGTAAGAAAGGAAGCCCGGTTGCTGCTGGGCCCATTCTGCCACCATTCTTCCTTCTTTTCTTCCATTTTGTTAAAAATGTATATATGATTCTTTTATAGGTCGACACAGGGGTTGGACCTTGGTCATCTGAATCTTTAAATAAAGGTTCTTTGGGTCCCTGTTTTTCATGGCAGTGCTTTCTTTTCTTGGAGACATTTGTTCCTTGAGGGATGGGGGAACAAGACCTAGACAGAGCACAAAGCACAGACGCAAGAAAAGAATGGCAAACAAAGGACTTGCCTCTGGACTCCACACGGAGGAGCTGTCGGTGGCGTAGGAGTCCTCCAGTCCCCGGTTATTAAAAGCGGTCTCCATCTCCAAGCTGCCCTCTGTGGACTGGCGACTGAGCCTGCGGACCACACTGGTCTCCAGCGGAGATGCACCATGGCGCCTGGGATCCTCCACCTCACATGGGGCCTTCGAGTGGGCAGAAATGGGATCATCTTCGCCATAAGACAGCTTCTCAGAATAATTCAGTTGGCTGGCTCCATCCAAATCTAAATGTGCAAAAAAAAAAAAAAAAAACTATTTCAAATACATTATCATTTTATACCTTATTAGAAAGAGAAATTGAACAATAGCAACTACACCAATCAAGACCTCAAAAACAAAAGCCACAAAACACCTGCAGGAACATAATTCCATCCACACAATGCATAAATTTGGTCCACATAATTTAAAAGACCATTAGTACATTATGTGGGGTAGAAGGTTAAATGTTTTCTAATAATATAAGTATAAAGGATGTGTGTTTCTGTTAGGAGGGTAAATTAAACACGTTAATATTTTGTTGGAGTTACTGGCCACCCGACTTCGGGGATGGATCTAGAAAGCAAGAAAAGCAATCGGCTATGGAGATCATATGGTCTCCTGACTCTACCATTCTTTCTTTTCTCTTCCACGATCAACATATTACCCTCTGCTCAAAAGGCTTCGGGGTTTTCTCAAGTAGAAACTTCTCTACTTGATCCATGCAATATGGATTTAAGAACTTGAACAATTTGAGCTGTCTGAACCTTTATCTATAAAATAATGATAGAAGCCATCAGAGAGAAACATCAAATGCCATCCACCTGGTAGCCACCAGGCCTTCCATAAACATTAGCCTTGCTTCCTTTTCTCCCCAAACTGGCCACATCCAACCCAGCATTTTCGACCACCTCCCAACTCTCTGTCAGCTGGGGTTTCACTGGCTCATGAATATGCTGGTTGTGTGTTTCCGTTCGCAGAGGTTCTCAAGCCCTCCCTCTTGTTCTTTCCTTCCTCTCCAGAAAGCCTCATCAACGCCTAGGTCTTCCTGAGTCCTTCAAACTGTGTTTTTCTCAGACATCCTCCTCCTCCCCCTCCCCTTCACCCTCCTTCTCCTCCTCCTCCTGCTCTCTTCTCTTCTCCCTCTGTCCTCCTCTCTCGGTACTTCCTTACTCTCTTCATCTCTTGCCTCTCCTTCAATGTCTAGTTCAGAGAGTAAGGAAAAATTGACAGTGTCTTCCTACGCTGTTGCTTTCACCCTGCCTTGCCTCCTACACCCAAAGAGTAGCCAAGGATGTCGTATCTCTTTGGCCTTTAGGCTCCCCCAGTAGCCCTCATCCCCGGATGAGAGAAAATTAGAGATATAGACAGGATAAGTGAGTGGATGACAAAATATATATAATAAATTCAGCTCTGCCCGGCCAATGTGGCTCAGTGGATTGAGTGCATCCCATAGACAGAGAGGTCTCTGTTTGGTTCCCCGTCAGGGCACATTCCTGGGTTGTGGGCTCGATCCCCAGTGGTGGGCGTGCAGGAGGCAGCCAAATGATGTATCTCACATCGATGTTTCTCCCTCTCTTCAAAAAAAAAAAAAAGCAAAAAAATTAAGTTCAGCTCTTAGTTATATACTATCCAGCAGCAATTGTTTCCACTGTTAGTCTTAAAGTCTCAGCTGGAACAAAAGCTCCTTGAAAGCATTAAGACACATACATCTACTGCATAGTCTTTATCTGCCAGTGGACTTCACTAAACCCTCAACTAACTTCAAAGGCTAGGCAGGTAACAAACACCTGAAGCGGCCATGTGTGTAACACTGGGGTGCTGGCGACAGTGGTTTCCCAGACGGTACATGACCTACTTATAGTAAACATGCAAACTTAAAAATACATCATCACCTTTGCAAACCATATGAAAACATTTCGGACAGACTTGGTCTTCAATGCACAACTTCAGACTCCTGAGTTGGGATTCTGCAAAACCATGGCAAGCCATTGAGAAGCTCCCCTATCAGCCTTGTTGTTCTCCATAATTCAGTTCAGGCCCCTTGGGAACACTTTCACAGGACACCATAACATTTTTACATTCACACTTTCAGTTATTTGGCAAACACACTTTTTAAAAGGCCACAGAAAATGACAAAACAAGGACTATTCTATATGCAAAACCCTACAACATAAAGCCGAATTTTCTTTTAAGGCTCTAATTAGCACATCCATTCCTCACACACATGAACTCCAAAATGTCCTATTAAACAGTGGGTCATCCATCAACATGTGTAGCACCCAGCAGGGTGTCAGCACAAAATCTAACTTTGCCAAGAAATTACTCCCATAAAATTGTCTCATGACTTCAACTCCTACCGTGATAATACCTAGATCAGTAATAAGAGAATTTTCAAAAGCTACATCAAGCCTTGAAAAGCTATTCATAACTGAAAAACATAAAAACTGTATTAATGTAACAAACCATTTTCCTTGACAGACATTCAAGGATGGATTAGACAAGCAAATCTGGGGTACAAGCTGTGAGGAGCGGGACAGGGAAGGGTGATTCACCGTTACATAAAGCAGTCTCCCATGCCCCAAATTAAAGATCATGTCACCTTAAACACATACAGAAAGGTAATTTCCTGTTGTCAGGGAAATGTATCCTGGCTTTGTAGGAATTACAGGGCATAATTATGTCACATCTACTATATTAACTTCAGCAGAGAAATTCTTGAATTTGTTTAGTCCACATCCTGCTTTGATGGAGTGTAACCAGCTACCTTCCTTCCCACTCCCAAGCTCCTCTCTCCCACCACCACCCATGTACAGGGACCTTTGCTTACCGTCTCTGATGCTCACTTTTGTGTGTCAGTGTGGCTGACCTATAGTCTCCAATTATTCAATCAAACACTACTTTAGGTGCTGTTGTCAAGGTACTTTGTACATGTGATTAAAGCCCTTAAGCAGTTGACTTTGAATAAAGGAGATTATCTTACATAATCAGTCCATTAAAAGGAGAATGGGGTGGGGGGGTCCCCTGGAAGAGAGGAAATCTCACCTGTGGATTGCTTTGGCTCAGACCTGAGAGTTTAAGCCTAGCCTTCTTCACAGCCATTCCTATGCATCTCAGAACTGTGCCGTTCTGTTGCCTAACCAGTCCCCACACGTGTGTCAGCCAATTCTCTCTTTCTCACACAAACACACACTCACACACACACTCACACAGAGTGGGGCAAAAGTAGGTTTACAGTTGTGAGTACGCGAAACAGTTTATTCTTATATTATTATTTCTTAATTATTGTATTTTCCATATGAACCACCATAAACCTACTTTTGCCCCATCCTTTATATCACCTTGATATCACTTTGATATAGATAAAATTCTGATTGATACACCATTCCAAACAAAACTAGGCACAGATTCTGGGGCTAACTGAGCTGTATTTAAGGACACCAGGAAGATAATATCTGGCTTCTTTGCAATACCCCATGAGCTAAATATTTCACAAGCAAAAATAAGGCTTAGTACAAAAATGGAAAAAAGACTCCAATTATTCTGGAGCCCACCTTTCATGCCTAAAGATCTGATACACAGCCTCCTATCCAGATCACTTGTCCCAAACCCTCTTTGACATTATCAGGAATGCAGTGCCAATTCATGCAAAATAACACTAAATCATATTCGTGAGACAAGAGAGAACTGGGCTAGAATAAAAAGACAGCATTGTCTTGGTTCTAAAATAACCTCACCACTCAGTCTAGAATGAAGGATCTCACTGAAGCTGAAACATGAGACATCCTACCAGTAACTCATTCACAGTTCAGATTTTACTTGAATTCGGACCTTTAATTTCACCAGTCCAACATTTTGAATGTGTTTTTTTAAAGTAAGAATTGTCTACAATTAAATGTGATCTTAGAAAATCACGTTTAAGGCAGAGTGAAAAAAATAGCTAAATAGAGAGAAGGCAAAAGAAATCCTCTCAGGGTGCACACTTAATCTTTTCATTATTCTTTATTGCTAAAACAATTTCACTAATCTAAAGACAAACAAAAAGAAATGACACAGAAAACAATCATACAATAAAATTTAGCATGCAGTTATTCATCCCCATGAAAATCCTCCTGGTTTTCTTCAAAACCGACAGGTCATTCATTCACTGTAGTAGACTGTTTCCTCTTTTCAGCAGTGAAAAATTTACCTTTTCTATCATCATCTGTCAAAAAATTTAGAATCACCAGTTACAACAAAAGCTGCTGCTCATTTCAGTAAGGGTACAGGTTGGAGTGGTTGTCAGAACTCCCAGAACATCAGCCAATTGAATGCTTCAGATACTGGACACAGACTTCTGGAAAATGGGGCCATTAGCTTTAGAATTAAACAAGCTATTCCTAGGGAATCAACTGCTATTACCTTTCTTCAGCTAACACTGCCTCTCAATGGAGAGAGAGGGATGCTGGGATGTAACATGAGAGACAGACCAGCAGGAGAGGGTATAAGAAAATGACAAGAGGGTCAATATCATGCTTTGGTTACATAAGACATTTATTTCTGGCTTACCTTGGGCTAAAAAGAATAGCAAGGAAATATATTATGTTGCCCATATCAACAAGTAAAATTACACGGTGGGTAGCAAATTATGATATTTCCCACTGAAAAACAGGGTTCTTTTGGTCCCTTCTCCCTTTTTCCTGTTCTTTTCTGCCTGCCTCACCCACGTCAGGTCACAAATTTCCTCTCTGTCATCTCCTCTCTGTTGTGCCCTTTCCTTTTTCTACTGCTTCGTGTTGAAAAACCATGGAAGAGCTCCAACGATGCCCCCATGGCGTTGACCACAAGCCCAAAAGGAAAGAAAGAACAGTAGAGAGAAGCCAGGTCATTTAGACCAGGTCACTAAGGTGGACGGCATGCCATGTTCTCTGGCTTTCTACCAAATACACTTCCCAGCCCCTTCCCATTCCCGATGTCCTGCGCCTGCGTACTCAGGGTTCTGGGCATAAGAGTCAAAGGGATGCCCGACCTTCACTCGGGAGCGCGGAGGTGCCCTACTGTTCTTTCTCCGGGTTATTTTGTGGGAGTGACCGGGACGGAGGAGGGCTCTTAGCAAGGCCTTCCCTTGTCACAAACTGTGCCTACTTGGCCGGTGCCCTCCCTCCCCTCGAGGACGGTGGTCTTAGTATAAAGATGCTGGAGGGAGGCGTCAGACCTTGGCCCTTGCCCAGTGGTCTCTTGTGAAATGGGGGTGGGGCCCAAAACTACAGGGATGAGGGAGAGGGAGCGGGGCACGTGTTGTTTGAGAAGGGTTATTCAATATTATTATAGTACATGTTTTTATTTGGAAATGAAACCTATCTATTACCTTAATAATACAAAGTATGCAAAGAAAGACTTAAAAGTATTGCGGTTACATAGCTATGGGGAGAACAGACTCCACCACTGCCGTGGAGACAAGGCGCAGGGTCTCAGTGTCAGCGGAAGGGAACGTGAAGTTCTCCTACTCATCAGAAGGGAACGCGGTGTTAGAAAGCTTGACAAGTGCCGTCTGGTCCCTCCCCCAGCTGCCCGAGGGTTCAGAGCGGCCCTTTCCCTGCCCCTGCCTCTGGGTCCCGCCGTTTTCTCTCCCTCTCCGGTCTGCAGGTGCAGGTGCAGAGGGTAGGTGACTCGGACGTTCTTCGCATGGGCCGCCCCTGGTCTAGCGAGAGGAAGGGTCTGATGCAAAGAATACCTGCACTGGCAGACACTTGCGTGCTGTCCTCGTCGCTGGCAGAGAGCAAGCGGCGGACTTTGGGTTTCTGCTCCGATCCTGTGTGCTTGCCTTTCTCAGACGTTCTGGAACGGAAGCTCTGGGACCGGGACACAGAAATCTCGAACTGTCTGATCACCTCCTCGTCAGTGTCAGAAGATGTGCACAGCTCTCCATCATCTCCAAAGCTGTTGACTGAGAGCAGACAAGAGCCCGTCAGCCTCCTGCAGGGCCCACACGCAGAGATAGACGTCAGAGAGACAGAAGAGCGGGGACCGTTAGTCTGGATCAAGCCACCCCAAACAGGACGGAAAGAATGCAAAGCATGGTTGAAACGCAAATTTGAATCCAACTGAATAAAACAGGAAGAGAAGGCTCATGAGGGTAATAAGAAGTATGTGGCCAGAACCCAGGAGAAACTCTTGGGACAGCCCTAATCAACACAATGAGCCTCTTGCTGAGCTGGCAACCCTGCTGATCCCTTATGTGGCCGACTTGTGCTCCTAACGGGGAAGAGGACACTTATCTGTGCGTGTGCCTTATGTGCAGATCTAGTCATGACAGGAAGGATGCGCTTGGCTTCGTCTCAGCCATGAAAACCCACAGGGCCACTGAGATTTGCAACTGAGATTTTCCAAAAGCTTCCTGGTTACAAAAGGAGACATCCATACTGTGTGTGTGAGACAGAGAGAGAGATCTTGTTTCTACTAGAAATGTTCTGATGCCTTTCTCAATACCAACAAGCCAACCCAAATACCCTTTGAATTGTTTGTACCGCTTTCCCACACTCCTCACCTCCCAGCACATGGGTCCTCTCAGTTTCTCCAACATGCACAGATCAATCCTGCCTTTGTGTTCTTTGCCTTTGTTGATCCTTCTGCCTGGAACCCTCTCCTCCCCGACTCCTCTCACCAGTCAGTTGTCAACTCGACTTTACCCTGATCGCTTTCCTGATCATTCATCCTTCAGCAGTTCTCCTCACAGCACCTTTCATCTTCATGTCCCTCCTCTCCCCCGTAACTTCCATAGAAATAGACATCACCCGTTTGTTAACCGACGTGTGCCCATTATATAAAACAATGCTTATTGCATAGTGACTGCTTAATAGACACTTGTTAAGTGTTGAATAAATTGGTGAATACACAGTGTTTTACCCCAACCCTGAGGCCCCTGCATGGACACGTTCCCTGTGCCTGAAACGCTCTTCAGCCCCCATCCAGAGTGGTCACGAATCTAGCTCACATTCAGGTCTCAGCATAGACATCACTTCTCCCAGTAAGCCCTTCCTTGACCCCTTAAATTATGTAATTATGTTTAGGGCTCCTTCCACGTGCTGTGAAATATCTCTGTCCCCCCTGGCAGTGCCCCCTCCAGGGCTGTGGCAGAATGCCCTGTTTAATTGCCAGCCATTCCACCTACCCCATGCACATCACGAGGGTGAGGGCACATCAGACTGCCCACCTCTGCATCCCTGCAGGCCCGATCTTTGTGCGAGGCACAGGGAAGACTACTCTGTAAATATCTGCCTTTTTAAAAAATCTTTATTGTTGAAAGTATTACAGAAGCCCCCCCTTTTTTGCCTCCCTGCTCCCACTCCCTCTCCTGCTTTCCCCAAACTATTGTCTGTGTCTACTGATTGTGCATACATGCATGTAAGTTCTTTGGTTTATCTCTTCCCAACTCCCCCCACCCCCTTCCCTCTGAGGTTTGTCAGTCTGTTCCCTACTTCCATGTCTCTGGATCTATTTTGATTGACAATTTATTTTGTTCTTGATATTCCATAAATATTTTCTGAATGTGACATGGAAATGATAAATAATAAAAAATTATTTTTTGAAAATTTCCTCCTTTCATCCAAAAGTCACACAAGGATCCTGGGGAAGAATGTGGTTGATTCACAGATGGCTCCTGGAGATGGCTCCTGCATCAGAAGCTCAGAAGAAATTGAAAGGACATATTTCAAGTGAGAGAAAATACTTTAAACACCAGCCGGGTCAAAACATTTATTCTCTGGCTTATTTAAGAGTTGATATTTTTGAGGTTCTTTGGAAGACTAGTAATAACAACAGACACTTTTTAAATACTTTTTAATGTGCCAGGAACTGTCCTAAGTGCCTTACACATAATATCTCATTTAATCCACACAAAATCCCTATCATTGTTCCCATTTTCCAAGTAAGAAAGTTGAGGCAGGGAGAAGTCCTGCCTGAAGAACTGGCTGAAGACCACACTGCCAATAAGCGGTAGAATCAAGGCAGCCTGTCTCTTGAGGCCACATTTCTGGTCACCACACTGGAGAACCAGAGAGGTGATGAAAATCATTCTTGTTCTGTATACTCACATGAACTAGCTGAATCCCTATAGCCAAGTCCCGTAGCCTCTCTGGCCCTGCTTCATAATTTGGGAATCATTTCTAACATCTGGATCATTTCCCAGGACTTTTCTAGATCTAAATTTCCCAACTCCCAACTCCAAACTTCCTGCCCACAAGCATTAAAATTTTATGTGTTTCTCTCTTTTTTGGAGCAGCTAGTCCAAGAACACGAGAGCACATTGTGGTCAGGTGACTCAGTTGTATCGGCTGTGACCAGTGCCAGGGGAGGACCTGGAAAGCTAAGTGTCAGAAGAGACTAGATTTCCCATGAATACTCCAATACATCCCAACAGAAAACCATCACAATGAGCAGTCCGCTCGCGTCTCAACGTGCTGGACATTGTACTCCGGTACAGGGTGAACCATCACATAGCAGAGACATCCAGAGACATATTGGAGAACATTTTAAATCCACCTTTAGAGAACAGAGCCAGCTAAGCACCCAGGAGGGAGTCAGGGGAATATACACGCAGGAGGGGTGGTTGGATTAGGCATCCATTTGGAGATCTTTTTGTCTCTGAGATTCCTCTTGTATTTGCTAGGCAGGCATTTTTTAAAGTTAACTAGTCATCAATTTCAAATTAAGTGAGTTAGCTCATGGATATTTTTCCCCACGTATTACATCAGTAATTAGAATTCACTCATTTACTACTATGTGGTCCTTGAGTTGTGTTTTTTTCTTTCCAGTGAGTCACTGATCACCCAAGAGCAAGATTCTTCTCCCTTGATAAAATAATCATAATAGTAATTGTAACATTTCCTACTTACTAAACACATACTATACGCCAGGTACCTTTCTTGGGACTTTGCATATATTATCTCAATTAATTGTCACAGCAACAGCTGTGACAGGAGTAGAGATTATTATTCCTGTTGTAGAGAGAGGAAACAGAGGCCCAGAGAAGTTAAGGAAGTTGCCCGAGGCAGCAAAGTAACAAAGCTTAGTCTTAAACTCAGGACCTAGATTCTTAGTCGCTGTGCACACCATCGGACATCACTGCACCAGGACACTACGGCCATTATCTAGCTTCCGTTTCAGAGGAAGGTGAGGGGAACTCTGCCGCTTCCACCCCGAAACCTGCCAGGAGGTTGGCTCCTTTGTGAAAACAGAAGAGCAGCGAGAAGAAGGGCCAGTCCGTGTGGGAGTGAGTGCTTGCAGGCAAGCAACAGAACCCTGGCTCCTGCTCCTTGCGGGACGGTAACACCTGCCCTTCTGAGCCTTACTCCCCAGATCTCAGGAAATTCTCTGCCTAAAAAGCGAAACTTCCATCCTTCCTGGAAACTGCTATGCGGCAACAGAAGTCAATGGTGGCACTATTACAATGATAAAATCAGTCCCACATACAGCATTTAGTATGTGCCAAACATTGTTCTAGAACTTTACATGTGTCAATATATTTCCTCCTCACAATAACCCTTAATGAAATAGGTACTTTACTAGCCCCATTGTATGAATGGGGAAAGTGAGGCACAGTGAGGTGAGTACATTTGCCACAATCAGAACAATTAATAAATAGTGAAACCAATATTCAAGCCAAACCTGTCTTGTTCCAAAGTCAGTGTTATGAATGACCGCATTATGCTCCCTCTACCATCTGCTGCCTCAAGGAAAAAACTTCTTAAATCCTGGTCAAAATCTATACAACTGTGTTTTATTGCTAAGAAAACAAAAATCACATAGCTGGGGCTGGAAAGAATTTTCATAAGCATCTATCTATTCCCTCATGCTCACAAAGAGAAACCAAAGCCTGAAGAGGCAAAGTGTTTTGCCCACAGTTATATCATGTGAGGAACAAACGTGGGTCTCCAGTGAACCTCGTCAATGATTTGCTCCATTATTTTCCAAGCTCTCTCACCAATGAGCTGTTTTTTTCCAATTCAAATCTTGACTCATCTTTTTGAAGGATCCCAGCTACTCGCCTTGTCCTGAGTCTATGTCAACAACCAAATAATGGATCTGGCTTTCATTCAACTTAAATCTCTGAAAATCACAAAGTCTCATCTAAGTTGTGGCACTTACTTCAGAGATAAGATAGTCCTTCCTAAAATGCCATATCAAATACCAACTTCAAACCCCTTTCAAGCTAAGTTCCTGGGAAACAGCGCGGTGAGGATTTGTATAAAATCTTCACCCCTTCATCCAATTAGCTTGTTAAAATAACAGGAAGAAGTTGCACAATTGCCATGGATGTGGATACATCTTGAGGTTATGATTGTTCGCGTCCTCAATTACAGAATTCAGAGAGATCTTAGATACTTCCACATACCAGACTCTTCCGCAGTCTTTCTGATGCACAGCTACCCAGCCTCATCCCTTTGATCACACACCACCGGGGTGCCACTCTGGGCTTCTTGCACCGGCAGGAAGCTCATGACTTTGGCACGCAGAGCGAGCTATCTGTAGACCCATCACTATCGAGTCCCTACTTCCATGAAGTCAGATCATCTCTTTCTCTAACTTTAGTGGTTTTTTTTCTATTTTAAATAGATAGGAGCAGAGGAAATGATATCTTCATCTTGCAAATTCAGGAGGGGAAGGTGGGTCCCTGTCGAGTGTAACATCAGTTAAGAGCTACAGTGGTTACGGATGTGGAATCTAGAGTCAAGCTGCCTGAGTTTGAATCTCCTATTTGCTATTTTGACACCTAAGCTAGTTCCTCAATCTTTCTAAACAGCAGTGTTTTTTTATTTTAATAATCCTTAATTCTTAAAATTGTTGAGAGACTAAGTGAGATAAACCATAGAAAGAAACTTGGCACATGCCCAGCATATGATATGTTGAATGTTGTTATTATTACACCTCATTATGAAAGAGCCTGTG